TACGATGCATCTATGGTTCGTGCCATTCGACCCTCGGTAGTGCACATCGTATATTTTTGGATCGGTCCGTACTACCTCGGCATAAATCGTGCGTGATAATACTCGGAGCCTGATTACACTTGATATTACTTTATGGCTTGAGAGGTTATACTTTACTTAATGACAAAAATTGATTTGGGCTTAGTAGATGTTGACTAGGGATGTTTGAATTTATTATCAGTTGAGGAGTCATTTATTCATTACTTGTTATTGTGTTGTTGTTGTTATTATTATTATTATTATTATTATTATTATTATTATTATTATTATTATTATTATTATTATTATTATTATTATTATGTCCCATACTTGCTTAGAAATTCTGTAATTTATTATTGGTTCATAGTAAGTGTCGATGTCAACCCCTTGTCACTACTTCTTCGAGGTTAGACTAGATACTTACTGGGTATATATTATTTATGTACTCATGCTACACTTCTGCACTAATTGTGCAGGATCTGAGGCAGGTGCATTTGACAGTCATCTCGGTGCGCACCCCTAATACTCCAAGATTTAGTGGTGAGATACTTTCCGAGCCCGTTCTGCAGCACCCGGAGTCTCTCTTTTGCATTTACTTTCTTTCTACTCTATTTCAGACAATAGTTTAGTATTTTGTATATTCTACTAGAAGTTCATACACTTGTGACACCAGGTCTTGGAATTTTTCTAGTAGACATTTTATGGCTTTCGAGTATTTACTTCACCACACTTGTTCTTATATTTGCTTACACTTTATTTTATTAAAGTTTTCACCTCTTCTTACTTAATAAATAAAAATCAACTATTTCAAAATTGTTAAAGAGAATAAATACATGGCTAGTTGACCACTGGCTTGCCTAGCAGTGACGATGGGCGCCATCACGACCTATAGGTGAAATTGGATCGTGACAACATGGTATCAAAGCATTAGGTTCGCGTAGGTCTCAAAAGTTAAGAGTAGTCCTAATAGAGTCTTGCGTATCGGTGCAGAGACATCCGTACTTATCTTCGAGAGGCTATAGGGTGTTAGGAAAGTACTCTTTCTTCATCTTCATCATGCAATTGATGTTATGCTAAGTATCTTTATCTTATTCTCTCAAAGATGGTGAGAAAGAGCGCGACAAAGGTACCTAACCATGGAGGAGCTGATCCCCCTATTGCTAGAGTCCGAGGCAGTGGCTGAGGGAGGACTCCAACTCATGGTAGAGGATGAGGACGTCCCAGAGTTTCCCCAGTTGTGCCGCAAGTGGATCAAGTAGAGGATCCTATTATTGAGGAGCAGGGCCAGGTGCCTGCAAGAGAGCCAGCCCCAGTGGATTTTATGCCCGCACCGTGATTCCAGGAGGTCATGGGCCGTATGCTGCGGTTCATGGATTCTATGACTCAAGTCGATTTATTTCCAGCAGACCCAGCCATATCTCAGGTTGGAGAGGGAGCACATACCTCTACCGCTCAGGCTCCAGGGCATGCAACTACCGTATATCAGGCCCCGGGTACAGTACCCGTGGGCGGAGTCCAACCAGTTGCAGCAGCCATACCTTAGCCCAGACCAGCTGCGGCCGGCGAGCCACAAAAGCTATTGGACAGATGGACCAGGCTACATCATCCTGTGTTTGAAGGTGAGAGACATGAGGACCCCTGGGACTTTATTGATCAGTGTAGGGACAGACTGCACAACATGAGGATATTGGAGTCCCACTGGGTGGACTTTACAACTTTTCAGCTGGAGGGCATGGCCCGTAGATGGTGGCAATCCTATCTTTTCGGCAGACTAGTAGGTTCTCCTCCCATGACCTGGGATCATATCACATGCCTCTTCCTGGACAGATATATTCCACCCTTTCAGAGGGAAGAGTTGCGATTTCAGTTCGAGCAGCTCCAACAGGGTCATATGTCAGTGACCGGCTATGAGGCGAGATTATCTAAGTTGTCTCTCCATGCACTTATGATACTTCTCACCGATACAGAGAGAATGCAGAGGTTTGTTGCCGGTTTGCACTTTTGTATCCAGGACACTATAGCCCGAGAGGTTGAGATGGGGACTTTGTAATACCTAGTTATGGAGATAGCGCGGAGGATTGAGGGTGTTCGTAAGCGGAGCTGAGAGCAGGCAACGAGGGATAAGCGGTTTCAATATTCTGGAGAGTTCAGTGGTGCCCCGGCTAGGGGCAGAGGTTAGTTTGTGAGGGGTCAGTCTAGCAGGCCCACATATCCAACACCGCCGCCTTCTCGGGGTGCTCTAGTGCGGCCCTATTTCAACACCATGCTAGAGAGCTCCTATTGCCCACCAGCCATTCGGGGTTCCTGCAGTAGGTATTCAAGCCATCAGGGTCAGACTTCAGATCAGCTGTCCACCATTTTGAGGGGTTATTATGAGTGCGAGGATCCTGGCTACATGAAGAGGTTTTGTCCCAGACTTCGTGGCAAAGCAGTACATAAGGGTCATTAACCTATGATTACAGCACCAGCCATCCGACCGCCCAGAGGCGAAGGGCAGGTAGGTAGGGGCCATCTTAGAGGTGGTGTCTAGTTAGGTGGAAGCTAGCCAGGTGGCGCTCCAGCCAGGTTCTATGCCTTTCCAGCCAGACCAGATGCAGTAGCCTCAGATTCCGTGATCACAGGTATTATTTTTGTCTGCAGTAGGGATGCTTTGGTACTATTAGATCCAGTGTCTACGTATTCATATGTTTCATCTCTGTTTGCTCATTTCCTAGGTGTTCCTCGCGAGTCCTTGGGTACTCCTGTATATGTGTCGACGCCAGTGGGCGATTCTGTTGTGGTGGATAGATCTACTGGTCCTGTATCGTGACTTTCTGTGGTTATGAGACTAGAGTGGATTGTCACGACCCAATTCTATTATAGGTAGTAAGGGCGCCCAGTGCCGCCGCTAGGCAAGCCAACAGTGAACTAACTACGAGATTTCTCTTTTTAATATATTTCCAAGTAATTAAACTTTCCTTAGTTTAAAAGAGTTAAGAAAACACAGATTTAAAATAAATAAAATGAAAGCAACTGAGTGTTATCATAACCATGAAATAAACCAAGACCACAAGTCTGCTACTGTGTGCCAAGACCTGGTGTCACAAGAGTATGGGCTACTAGTAGAATATAAAAAATATTACTACTCTACTGTCTGAAATGAAATATACAGAACAATAACAAAAGAAAGACTCCGGCTGCTGCATAACGGCTCGGAAGGCAGCTCATAGTGTAATCTCATAATAGGGATCAAGCGTGCACACCAGACTGATACCCAGATGCACTGCCTCAAATCCTGCACATTAAGTGCAGAAGTGTAGCGTGAGTACATTAACAACATGTACCCAGTAAGTATCCAGTCTAACCTCGATGAAGTAGCGACGAGGGGTCGACTCTGACACTTACTATGGGCTAAAAATAATATGCCAAAATTTTAAATAAGCATGGACTACATGAATAATACTGAAAACTCAATAACAGGAAATAATAAATAATCCTTTCACAAGTATTAGGTCCCGAATTTATTTTCATCATTTAAAAATTTATATCTCACGCCAATGAAGCAATATCAATTATAAATGGTTCTAAAGATTTATCATGCGCAAATTATACCGAGGTCGTACGGCCCGATCCAGCATAAAATATTTAAACTGTGAACTGTCGAGGGTCGAACGGCTCGAACCATAGATGCATCTATCTGCTACCGAGGCATTCGGCCCGCTCCATAAAAGAAAATACTTTAAAGAAATACAAATTCTCAATAACAATTAAGTGTCTCATTCACAACTTCAAGTACGTGAAATTTTTCCTTTTACAATCCTTTTATCAAATTTTAATATGACTTAAGCAATTAAGTTCACAAGTAGGGGCAAACATTGTAGGTATAGCATGATATGCATCCTAGACTACCCGGACAATAGCATAATTAGTAGCTATGTACGGGCTCTCGTCACCTCGTGCGTACGTAGCCTCCCACAAATAGGAGCACATATTGATTAATTCACCTATGGGGTTAATTCATTCTTACAAGGTTAGAAAAGAGACTTACCTCATCTCAAAGCCTACTTTCCGGTCCAAGATTGTGCTCAAACCCCCCAAATTTGGTGCCAAATGACTCGAAACTAGTCAAACATTATATAAATAATCAATACATGTTCAAAAGTTTATATCCTAACTATCAAAGTGATTTCCCAAGCCTATTTGAAGAAACCCTAAAGTTTACCCCTAGGCCCACAAGCCCGGATTTCGGAAATCTTTGAAGAAAGTTGTTACCCATAACCTCATGAATTCAAATATATGACTTTTATTAAATTCCATAACGAATTTCGTGGTAAAATCTCATTTTTATCAAAAAACTAGGTTTTCACTTAAACCCATGATTTTCACTAATTTACATGTTATAATCTACCCACAAACTATATATTTAACTCACATTGTGTAGAAATTACTTACTTCAAAGTGCTAGATGAAATCCTCTCTCTAAGAGCTCCAAGAATCGCCCAACAAGGAAAGAAAATGAGCCAAAAATGACTAAGTCCCGTCATTAAATGAGTGGTCTGCCCGCAGTGATTTTTGCACCTACGGGGCCACAACCGTGCACGCCCCAACCTCGGGAAGCACGACCGGCGCTCAACCGAGTGAACCCGGTCGAACAAGCCTGTAAGATATTTTTTACCCAACTCACCCATGATCAAGAGAAGACATGATTTCATTAATTAGACAGTAGGAAGTTCATACATACAATAGTAAATCGTTTCATTAGTTACTTCACTTTTAAGTCTCAAAATACACATATTCTTCTAGTTTGAGTGGAACAAGTGATCAAAACACAACATAACTTGTTTGACTTTTCTAGCACCCATGTACAACCCATATAGTGTCTACGGAGCCTCTAAAAGATACAAAAGAGTGTTATGATAGTGCCGTAACAAGGCCCCGGCTATACCTCGAGATGTGATAATAATATGAACAAAAGATACAATATGTGACCCCGGGATGAAATGGGGCTCACCAAGTCTGCTGGAAGAGGATGTACCACTGTCGCTGATTAACACTGCCTACTATGGAACCACCTGCATCCATTTAAAGATGCAGCGCCCCCGGTTAAAGGGACGTTAGTACTATCGAATAGTACTAGTATGTAAAACTAAACACTATCTAGAATGAATAATAATACAAGGGGGAAACAGTCAAGAATTCAATAAGAGGTTCAAATAATACTAAAACATCAAGTTATGGATCACATAAGTTTTCAAGTCAATTTCCATGTTCTTAGGATGGGTGATCTTTAGTGCCGAAATACCATAATTCACAATTCCACCGTATTCTTACACGGAGTCCGATCACGACCCGATCGGCTAGGTCATCTCATTTGAAACATCAACCATAACCACAATTTCAATTATCATTTCCAGCACAGTCACCACTATGTGTGCAGCATGGCATCCGATCATGGCCTGATCGGTTAGGCCGTCTCACCCAAGACATTACCTTTTTCAGTCAATCATCTCACATCATACTTCTTTTATATCTTTTCGATTCATTGGCACTAGTGGCCATAATTATAAAGTCATTCTTGGCACTTGGCTGTATTTCATGATTCTAGTTCCCCTTTCCACATTCAAATATCATTATCATTATCAACAACAATAAGGCTTCCCAGTCAAGATATTAAATTCACATATGAGCAATTTAGGAATCTTAGGCACATAGAGGCTTTTCATACAATTTGGCATGACAACCTTTATTTTGACCTTGACTTGAAGTCTTAACATTTTAAACACATATTCCATGTTTTGAACACATTCTCAATGATAAGGTGATATGATGAAGCATTTACAATACATATTAAGCATATATCCTTCAACAAAAGCACATTCGGAATAGCCAATTCTAATATGATTAATTTGGGACTTACACCAAATATATGAACATCGTGGGATTCGATTCTAAGAAGAAGGGGGTTTAGCCAACATACCTCAATTGAGCTTCCTTTAAGCTCTAAAACGTTCCGGAATTCTTAGCACTTTGATCTATTTTAGAAATATAACAAGTTGGACCAAAATTAGGAAGATGGCCATGATTCTAGCTCATTTGAGCACATTATCAAACACTAGGTGCGCATTAATGTTTTTAAGTCCCTTTTTTGAAAGATTCCATCATTCCCCAGCCCATTATCTACCATGTTTAGCTCATAATCTTCCCACATTCTTTGATAACACATGCATACAAGATAACAACCCCTACACCCAATAATTGTCTTTTGTTATGAAAAGAATTATATTGTGGATGTCCATTTATTACTCTGCTATAGATAATCTTCCTGAAGAAGATTATCCATTTAGTACTCTGTTAAAATTTATCTACAAGCAGCTGATGCAGGAAGGTTGCAAGCAACTCAATAAAATAATTTGCAACAGCTTCTTATTAAACAGGCAGGTTGCAAGCAGCTCATGCAAACAACTTACAAGAAGCTAAAGAAGAGCCTTGCAACTGCTTCCCGAAAAGCCTCGCAGCTGCTTCTTTTCTTCTATAAATAGAGAAATTTTTAGCTCATTATGTACATGAGTTTGACGTTGAATAATATATCAATCTCTCTATATACTTGTCTTTGGTTTATTTACTTTACAATTTTTATTTTATAACACGTTATCTGCACGAGACTCTTCCATTTTGAGAACTTACTTCGAATTTAATTTCTATTTCAGTGTTCTTCTTTGATGTAAGGCGACACTCTTATGTCCGTGATTAGATCTTGTTCATTTTGAGCATCATAAGGCAGATTATATCCTTTAGGTGATGAGTTTTTCTTCTTGGCAGTAGTGATGTAGATATCACTTACATATGGAGTGACCAAATTTGCGTAATTTAATTTGAGCCTTTTCCTTAATTTTAATATCTTTATAATCGCTTGCTTGGTTATATGTTACGTATACAGTACCTATTTTGGTATTTGTTTTCATCCTAATTATCTCAATAAAGGATTACAAAGTGCATAACATTGTTAGATCCACTTAAACTCCAGCAGAGTTTGCAAGAAATATACAACCACCAGAAGTGGTTATGTTTCGTATATCTCATTGTAACTAAATTTTGTTAACCACCAGAAGTGGTGTATGCCTATGACCACCAAAAGTGATAATTTAGGCTTTCTATGGTTACAATTAAAGATAAACTAGAGAAGTATTCTCTATATTACATGCATGCCTCGATTTTCTCCTGAAGTAGTAAATATTTTAAAAGAGATTGAAGCATCAAAATTTGATGTGATTAATGCGTGTTCAGATAATTATGTTCGATTTCCTGAAGGATGAGAATTTTTATAAATATTAATCCATTCCCTGAAGTGAATGTGACAATATTAATAAAGCCGTAAATATGAGCGCGCTATTGCTGTAAATATATTACGATTCACCTCCAGAAGAGGTAATATGATTGAGAGAATATATACTCAATTTTTTGTATTTTAATTTGCTCTAGAAGAAGTAACACAATTGAAATATTCTCCCGAAGCAGGAAAATATTATGAAGTTGTGTCTTTCTGTGCGTAAATAATATAATGAGCTATTCAAAGTTATTTTTTGAAGCACATTTTCATTCCCTGGAGTGAATGAAGAAATACCACAACTCACCTCCGGAAGAGCTAGAATAACAGAGGATATAAATATTATTTTTGTAGCATAAAGATCATTGTCGCACGTACCTGTTGTACGTAAAACATCTTGGATAATTTTATTAAGTATTATTCTAAGGCAAAAGCATTCTTGTAGAATGCTCTCTACTACAACCATATTAATATATTATGGTTAGTTATTGAGTTCCCCGAAGGAAATAACAACTCGTGTATCTTTCCTTAATAGATGCAATGACTATGCGGTTTCCGTATTGATACAAAATATTCAGATGTTAATAATATTTCTCCTTGAAGGAGATATTTGTCACAAAGTTAGTGGTAAAAATATTAAAATTCTTAATTTTCGTTATTTATAAATTTAGAATTAGCTTTATATTGTTCATTTGATTATGATTTTCTCTCATGACACCAGAAGTGTCTGAGCAATATTTGGTAGTACAACAAAAGTTCCTGAAGAGCTAACTGTTTGTCTAGAAGACACCTGACACCAGTAGTGTCCGATAAATATTAGATTATGGATAATAAGTGAAGGATCTTGAAGAGCGTATATACAAATATGTCATTCAGATTATATGATTATGGTCAAAATATATGTTGTAGTAAACCCGACGTTTACTAATACATATGACTATCATACTTAGACTACAAATGATTGAAAGATTGAAAATCTTTATGTTTCCATAATCATATGGGGTAAATATGTATGTGAGAAGTTACCTATCTTATTCTTCAAATTTGTACTACATCATGTATCACAGTAAATCAGAAATTTACTGATACAAAAGTAACCACAGTAAATCAGACGTTTACTGATGCAAAAGTTTATGCCATAGTAAATCAGAAGTTTACTTAGAGATAGCACATGCCATGATAAACTTGAAGTTTTCATTTGCCATTTTTAAATGAGCTATTTGAGAATTCAGATAAGCATATACCGAAGAACTAGAAGATTCTTCAAGAATTCTCTTGTGTTGCTTGTTCTCATAATAACTTGATTATACCAGCTAAAGTTGGGACTAAAATCCCCGAATTCTAGAATATATAAAAGGTGAATATGGGCCCATTCACCTATCATGTGAACCACTTATAGATGCATATATAAGATGGTTACATGTATGTTTATTGTCAACCTACAGTTTGGCATTTGAAATTGTCTTTCTCAATTAAGAGCATAATTTTCAAATTATGAAATCAAGATAGTTCATCTTGATGATGCTGGTTTATATCCAAGCTAGTTTAGCATTGAATACCTCCTATTAATTGCTAAACTATTTCTTATGAGAACAAAGCCTCATGTGTTGGTCTAAGATTTTCTAAATTGCATACAGCAGCACTTGTATGCATCAGACCAACAAAATATGATAAGTCCTCCCTCACAATTGGTTTAGGATCAGAAACCAAATATTTTTACTATCTAATAACTATTGATGTGTGGTATATGATTAATTTTTCTACCACAATTCACAAAGATAGGTTTCCCAAAGAAGATTAGGGATATGTGTTAGTTTTTCTAACATTTGGGGGATGGAATAAACAGTTGGAAAATATGCTATATGAATCGAATTATCATTAATATGATCCTCACTTAGAAGATAATTCAAGTCAAATGCCCGAAGCATTTGCCGATCCAAAATTAAATATCATATTTCAGCTACAAGTGCCCCTATTAAAATTAAAGTCCATGGAGGATAAAGTTTATTTCACGCATGAAGCGTAGTAAACCGATCAGTTCCAAAGGTAAAAATCCTTGAAAAGGATAGGAGGAGCAAATGATCATAATGAGGAGGAAATGAGATCTAGAAGAGCCCACGATATAACATTTCATGAAACTCCAGAAGAAGTTCAGGTACCTGAAAATAAAGAAAGTGATGAGATCCCAACAAGTTATGTCACTTGCGAACCGATACAAAATGATCGTCGACGATATATTTGATACAATATAGTTCACAATATTGTAAGAGATTGTAAGGATCGGACCTGTGGTCCAGACACCTGAAGATGTCATGCCATCTAAATGCAAGTCATAACCTATATGACTCATTTGATTAAGGCTATATGAAGATACCTGAAGGATTTAAAATGCCTGAAGCATATAGTTCAAAGCATCGTGAAATGCATTCAATAAGAGTACAAAGATCTTTGCACGGTTTAAATCAATCTGGGCGCATGTGATATAATTGCCTCACTAAATTGATGAATGAAGGTTATGTAAATGATGGCATTTGTCCATGCATTTTTACAAAGAAAACAACAGCATAGTTTATTATACTTGTTGTTTATGTTAATGGCATAAATATCATAGGAACTCTAGAAGAGCTCCAAAGGGAAAAACTTTGTCTTAGTCTGCAAATTGAATATTTAGCAGACGAGATCTTTATCCATCAATCTGTCTATATAGAAAGGGTCTTAAAATGCTTTTACATTGACAAAGCGCACCCA